ACTCTTTCCACGCTAGTCTTAATTGATTTCATCTACCCACAGGTGTGACCTGGATTGTCTCGTATGTCAAATATTGCTCTGACATGACAGTAAGAAAACACAGAATCTGAAGTCTGATTACAATAAAGTGTCAAATTATTTTGTCTATTTTAGTAGTTTCTATTTATTTTAGTATTAGGCAACTGAAAAGAAAAAATATTTATTTAGAGCCAGTTATGCACTCTTTTGTACACATGCAGAGAAGGGAATCACACATACATGCACATTTTCTTATGTCAATGAATTATGAATTTTTCCTAAATCTCCAAGACGCAACCTATAACAAAAGTATTTTTAACATAGTCAGTTAAAAGCCTTAATATTAAAATGCCTAAATTGCTTCAGTTGTATTATCAATGCAGTAGGTTAAAAAATTCAACGAACAGTTCTGCATATAATCAGTTTTTTGAACTATATGGAAATGTGCAAGTTGGTAATGCAATAAAAAACCCCACACGTTCAAGATTTCCAACACTACTCTAAATATTTCACAAGGTATTAAATACAGAATGTTTAATTTGGGTGTGATACATATAAAGCAGGAAGGTTTTCTAAGTGTATCTCTCTCTTGCTGTCAGAATCCTATAGGAGGCATCAGTATACCGCCAGAGAGCAGGGTACAGCAAACAGTGATGAGAGACATTAAGACTAGAACTGAAGCAAGTCCCTCTATGACCAGTAGATGTCATTGGTCACTCTTCATATCAAAGCAGGCTTGTCACTGATCTCTGTCAATGGTGTGAGAGGTAAAGGACCTAAACTGCATCTTGGAATCATCAACTGTTATTATTTTTAATAATTCTATTTTGTAATTTTTTTTATTAGAACATGAACACTGTGATCATGTCAGTCTCTTGCATTAAAGGAAGAGATTATTCCTCCTTCAGGCTTTTGAACTGATCATTAAAGTTCATCACAGAAAACAGGTATCTGTTACTATCACAGAATGAATCCTGTGCAAAATTGTTGCCTCTTTTCCTAAAGGATTACCTCAATTACATATAACTAGTTCTACAAGATCTTTTCAAAGAGATTTATTACCTGTTGCCGCTGTCCAACCTTCAGTTGCAACTTTCGTCATCCCCACTGGGTTCAGTTGCTTAGAAACCCTCTCTATGGGGTTTTTCTTTCTGCCAAGGGAGAACTGACTCAAGACGCAAAGCTCTTCATCTGGCACTTTTGAAATCCTGTGCCAATTCTAATCACTGCAGATCCTTCAATCTATACCACCCCAGCAGTGATAAAACTACAATTCCCTCAAAGTCAGGGTTGCTACACACTGGTTGCCACACTAGACAGACCTAAAACCAAAATTTCCTTACATCTTAAGGGTTTTTTAATGAAACTATATTTATTACTGTTCTCTCCATACTAACTTTCAACACACATTAGATTCTACCTGTTAAAGCTATTCACTTGTGTGGGGCAGCAGAATCCTGTCTAATTCTATCTTGACAGAGCTGCATGTAGAAGCTGGCACACCTGTCCTTGGCCCTGCTGAAAGTCCCTTACCTTCATAGTGAGAAAATGCACTCAAATGGCATTAAAAAAAAAAAAAAAAAAAAAAAAGAAGTGAGAATCACAAACCTGTCAAGGTGAACAGCGACAGGATCACTGTACAAAATCCCAGTTCCTCCCCCCGCCCCTACAATTAAAGTGGAATATTTTCAGAATTGCTAGGCAAGCATAATCATCTTTACTGGTTTAATGTGACCTGTACAGTAACAAGAACTTTTAATAATAGGAATTTAATTGGTATTAGGTTATCTATTTTTCCACAGCAGTTTCTACCATTGGTACCAGTAATGTTGTTAGACAGCTATATGCCATCAGGTCATGATCAAGCTGAAGGAGGGATGTAAACAAGCCAGCCCCCAAAGGGGAATATCAATGTCCTTTGAAAGTCTCTTATTCAGCAGCTTCCTCCTTTCTCTATTAATCCCCTGAGAAAATACTGGGGAAAAACTGGAGCACACAAACAAACAAACACACAAAAACACCACAGGAGTAATCGCCTGCCACAGGAATAATCTTTATCCTCTTTTTGGACCGAAAGCTTACAAGAACATATACTGGAATGTGATTTATTTTCCGGGAAAGTTTCAAATGCTATCTTCTGTCAGATGGATACTTTCAGAACCGTTGTTTTAAACTGGTGACTGCGCTGCATATGCAGCTGCTAAGAAGATTTCAACCTGTCCAAAAAGTCAGAGAGGAGAAAACTGGAAACTTGGATGGAGATAGCAATTCAAGTTGAAAAGTTCAATATTTCAACCAAATTATTGATGGTAGTAACTACAGCTAATTATAGGGTTAAATAAATCTCATTACATGGGGGAATCCTATGCCTGCAGGATCTCAAATAGTCCAGATTCTGTGAGGAAGACAGAACAGTGACTTGCATTATTTGTTTTTCTCTGCTACCCCCTGATTGCCTGATTGCTCTCTAACTTCTGCTGAGGGAATGGGGAGTGACGTACTAGAAATGCAGTCAGTAGCTGCGGTGAGCTTTATAACCTTTAAAGGAAGACAAATATGCAAAGGCATAAAAAGGAAATTGTTTTTCTAGCTTATTCAGTTATTGATCTTTTGGAGATCTCTGTCGCTTTCCCATATGACTGACGAGCTTGAAACTCTGTACCTCAATCCCCTCTGTTTCTTCAATGAACCTCCTGCTGATGGAGTGCAGGGCCTCCTGCGGCCACTCATGAAACCAGTCAATAGCTGTGCAGTTAACTATGGCTGGGAACTTCCGAGCTCTAACTCTCAGCATGGAGCCAACTGGAGAGAAGCACAAAATGATCTGCGGAGATGAAGAGGAAAGAGAGAGTAAAGAATTACATGGCAAGTGGAAGCGATCAAAGGAAGGAACGTAGCAAACCATGGCAATGAGCCATTTCCAGTGAGTTCACAAGCTGAAATTCCAATCAATCTAGCAGTTAATTGAACACAGTTAAACTGGAATTTTAATTTCTGCAAGTAGGCCTTTCACCCCATATATTGCATATTGTACAAACAATGCAACCTTGTGTGTTAAGATACAGGCTTGTCAACACAGAAAGCCAAAATCTACCCATTCAGGTAGGCAGTGTGATATAATTCTTCATTTCTGAATCTGGCACAATTATTTATTGACATTTTAATAGCCCTCTGTAGTGTCATGAAATATACTTTGAGGAATGAAAAGGGATCATGTATTTTTTGTGAAAGGCTAAATATAGTTTCTAAACCAAAGCAAAACCATCCCAAAATATGCAATTTATTGAGGAGGGGGTGAGGGGCTAGTGTAACTAATATCTTTTAGGGAGTATTATGTATGGCTTTAGACAATTGTATGGCCCTTGGGATAATCAGCTGAATATCAAGCATGAAACTGTTAGAAAGGTGAGATTTTTTTTTTTGGCGATACCTTTTATTGGGCCAACAACTGTAGAGTTGGGAGACTTGTTAGACAAGGTTTCAGGCACAAAGTGCCAATACTCAGGTCGTTCCATGCCAAAAGCTTGTCTAACATCCAATTAAAATGTATTTAAAAAATAAATAAATAAAATCACCAAAAAAACCTTTGCCTCTTCTATATGTCTTGAAGCAGCATGGCTACAATGCTTCAACTCTACTACACTGTTAGAAGATGGAGTCTTTCCCTTCTACCTGGTTCTGTGCACTTCTAATGAAATATATTACTTCTCTAATTATAGGAACAGCTACCATCATGAGGTATTAACATGTTTGATTAAATATCTTAATACTTTTAATTTCAATGGAAAATACCCAAACGGTATTTTCACTAAAACAAAAGCACCCATAATTGATGGTCATCTTCCCTAGCAACTACAGAAGCCAGGACAGGAACTGGCAGGTCACACCAGATAGATGATAGGTTTATTCTGCCTCTATAGTTATCTGTTATAATGTATTCACAGAAAACTGTCAGGAAGAAAAGTTGGGATGGCTTAAAAGGAAGGCAAAGAGGAGAGATGAACAAAGCTGAGTATGGGTAAATAGACAAGGGTGAAATAAGACAAGGAAAGAAAAGGAAAGGAAAGGATGAAGAATAGAGGAGGTTAGTCAAGAATAACATTTGATATGGATGTAAGCCCTTGGGAAAGGAAGGCAAAGGGGTACAAGTCGGCGTGAATAGAACATAATCATGGAGAACTGCTTTCCTAGTCTGCTGTGATATCTAGAAAACGTCACAAATAAGTTACCTGAAAAATGCAAAAGGTTAGCTACTGCAGAATAATATATTACAAATTCCTATCCCATGGAGGGTAACACAAGGAGAGAATTTGTAGTAATCTATTTCCCTTTATGGGCAAAGGTGAATAAATGTTAGCAGAAAGTACCCAAAACAAGGAAATCTTTTATCATTCAAATAATAGAGATTATGCCAGATGAATTCAGAATTGGGACCATTTATGCTATATTCCTCAAAGTGGCACTTGCTAAAAGGGATCAAGCCTGGCCTGACAATTATATACTGCTGCTAATGCTCTCTTCAGAAGGGGATGCTATTGTCCACAATGTCACTTTAAAGAACACAACTTTTGCTGGAGACCATGATGGGATTGAGGAGGAGAGACAAGAGTAAAAAACAGGTACTATGAAAGAAAAGAAGACAGTTAAGGGTGACTGGGGGAAAGAATGGAGGGAACAAGAAAAAGGAGGGAAGAGATAACTGAAGACTAAAGTGCAAAGTGGGAACAAAATAAGAAGGGGGTAACTGAACTTGCTAAAGAGGAGAAAAACCCTATATATGATGGGCAAATTAATCTCCACATCTGATTCTGGGTTTGCATTGCCCACTGTGCTGTTTTTAAATCAGATTATCTTTTTTTTTTTAATTCCTAAATTATTGTGACTTACTTGCAGCAATGTTGCTCGAGTATGCTTGTTGCAATGTTTTAGTTTCCTTTAGCTCTGATCTCACAGCGTTTATTTCTTTGTGTGGCACAGAGGGACTCTATTTCATGTTATAATGGAGACCTGAACTGCTGTTGTCATTCTGTTTCCCCAGTTGATCTAGTTTATTTTCAGATAGAGGGAATACCTTTCTCACATTACCGCAAATTTCTTTACCCATAACTCACTTGTACATTTATCCTAGAAAGCACTTGAAAATGTGTCAGCAATAATAAGCTTTGAACCAGAGTCAATGAACAAAACCAGAAGTTCTCATCTTTGGATGTTTTCTGAAGTCTCTTCTTCCTTACAATGTATATTTCCAAGCCAGGTCCCTCTCTCCCATCCAGTTCAAGCACCCAGCCACCGCCACCTTTGCCAGCCAGTGAGCCAAGGGAACCGGCCTGGGTCTGCCTGAGCCTAAAGGGGCCCAAAACAGAGGGGCATCAAGACCCCAGACAGAAGACTGCCCAGAGGAAGCTAGGTGCAGCTCTGGTAGCTGGCCCACGGCTAGACCCACTTGCTGGGACTGGACAACCCACACTGGAGCAGCAGAGGCAGCCAGCCTGTGCAAGACAGGAGCCTGCTACAACTAAGGTCAGCTGTGGATGGGAGAGGATGGCCTGGTAGGCCCAGAGGGTACCTGACAAGGGTGAACCCTGGAGGGACTGCCCTTGATGCCTTAGCCTCCTGGCAGTTCAACCACTCACCCAAAGTGTACCACTGGGGGACACACACCACTTCTGGCCACGAGCAGGCCCAGCAGGGATTATGCAGAGCCTCTGAGACACCAGGACAAGTGGCAGCAAAGAAAAGTCCTGGGGAAGAAGGGGCTAGATAGAAAAAGGGGAACAAAGGGTCAGGGTAGCAGACCCTTAAGCTCTAATGTTGGGAGTGTGCAGCTCAGCACAGTGCCCTGCCCACCACTCAGTCTCAGCCACATCAAGTTACGTTGTTTCTCTTTTGTGTTAGCATTTTTTCTCAAAGTGTAATAGGTCACAGCAAACTCCCATGACACTGGATTATCATCCCACTGGTGCATCAATCCACCTGCAGTGACATCAAGGCACAGTTTAGGATCTACGATAACACCCTAGCACAGGAGTTTTCAACCTTTTTGGATCAGTGTATCCCAGGAGGCCCGTGGGGGGGGAGAAGTGGGAGGAGGACTGGGGTGGTGCACAGCCAAATGCAGTGGCAGCAGCTGCTGCATGAGAGCTTCCCCCACCTTGTGTGTTCAGCGCCTGGGTGGCAGCACAGGATAGTGTGTGGTGGCACTCTATCTCTGCCTGTCCGTGTGTACTCCCTAGGGCCTTCTTAAGTACCCCCAGGGGTACATGTACCCCTGGTTGACAACTCTTGCCCTAGTGGAAAAGGGTGAAGATGGGCCAAGGAGATGTCCCTGAGCTGGTAAGAACCACTGAGCAACATTACAGAGGTATAACACCTACAGTTGTGGCAGGCGAGTAGGCTCAGGGGCGATCTACCCCTGCAGGTGGCAGGGCGAGGGCTTATCAAATAGTTGAAGGCTGCTATTAAATCCCCTCTCAGCCTTCTCTTCTCTAGACTAAATAAGCCCAGTTCTCTCAGCCTCTCCTCATAAGTCATGTCCCCCAGCCTCCTCACCATTTTTGCTGCCCTCTGCTGGACTCTCTGCAATTTGTCCACATCATTTCTGTAGTAGGGGCCCCAAAACTGAACACAGTACTCGATGTGGCCTCACCAGTGCTGAATAGAGGGGAATAATCACTTACCTTGACCTGCTGGCAACACTCCTACAAATGCAGCCCAGTATTGGCAACAAGGGCGCACTCTTGACTCATATTCATGTTATTATCCACTGTAACCCCCAGGTCCTTTTCTGCAGAGCTGCTGCCCAACCAGTCAGCACCCAGCTTCTACCGGATACATGAGATTGTTCCATCCTAAGTGAAGAACTTTGCACTTGTCCTTGTTGACCCTCATGAGATTTCTTTTGGCCCAACCCTCCAATTTGTCTAGGTCACTCCTAGCCCTACCCTCCAGCTACTCCCCTCAGCTTGGTGTCATCTGCAAACTTGCTCAGGGTGCACTGTGTGCCATCTTTAAGGTAATTGATGAAGACATTAAACAAAAAAGCCCCAGGACCAACCCCTGGGGCACTCCACTTGATACTGGCTCCCAACTGGATATTGAGCCATTGATTACAACCCTCTAAGCCTGATTCTCCAGCCAGTTTTCTATCCATCTTACAGTCCATCCATCCAACCCATACTTCCTCAGCTTGCTTGCAAGAATGCTGTGGGAGACGGCATCCCAAGCCTTGCTAAAGTCAAGCATATTATGTTTACTGGTTTCCCTGAATCCAGAGCCAGTTATCCCATCATAGAAGGTAATCAGGTTGGTAAGGCATGACTTGCACTTGGTAAATCCAAGTTGACTGTTCCTAATCACTATCTTCTCCTACAAATGGATTCTTTGAGGACCTGCTCCATGATTTTTCTGAGGACCGAGGTGAGGCTAACTGGTCTGTAGTTCCCTGGATCCTCATTTTCCCCGTTCTAAAATATGGGCACTATGTATGCCCTTTTCAAATCATCCAGAACCTCTCTCCCCTTGTGGGGTCTGCTCCCTTTTGGGGTCTCTGGCGCACCAGCTGGAGGAGCTCCAGGCCACAGTCCAGAGACTGCGTGCCATCAGGGACTGCGAGCAGGAGATAGACTCCTACTGCCAGGCCCTTCTCCCCCGGGAGGCGGAGGGTAGACCACAGTCTCCCTTCAGGCCAAAGGAGGACTCCGGGACCTCCCGCTCTGTCCAGCCAGGGGCATGGACCAAGGTGGTCAAGGGCCCTAAGGCCC